AGTTGGAGACTACAAACAATATACTTAAATAAACTCAAGTAATTAACAATGCGCTCATTACGTCGGCTAAGAAAATGGCTAAAGTCAGAATAAACATTGACAGAGCTGGCGATAGGCTATAACTGCAAACGAGGCTGCCAAAAGCAACGGAGGCTTAGGCTAAAAGAGGCAAGAATATAAAAGTTGTATTTTATTTGTCACATATTCAGACAAGAAAACTGTATAGTATTAAAAACTTGCCAATGCAGAACACCTTTATATCTGCTTCGCTGTGACGGATTTAGCGAAACTTATTATATTCCTTTTCCATTTGATGTATATATCAAACAAGTACTTATTTACTAAATAATAAATTATACTTCTCTGGAAAAAGGATCAATAATTTTAAATAGCTCTGTACTAGACGTATACTTTTCAATATTTAGATGACGATAAGTTTAAAGTAAGGTTGAAACATAATATAAACATTTTCAATCGATTGTTATTAAAAGTTATGTCAAGTAAATTCTGTTTGCAATAACATTCGAAAATGTGTGAGTCTATTAAAGTAATTGTATTTATGACGATTTAACTCAACTTATTTTAGAAATAAGCAGTTTGTTAATAGAAATAAGAATTTAATCTAATCGTTCGATTTGAACTATGATTAGATATTCTGAAATCGCGCTTGATGAGAGCTAGTAAAACGTGGGCCATGTTTTCAAGGGTGACTGAGTTTCCGACAGAAAGGATAATGATGTAATCATATAACCTGATTCATAACTCAAGCCTCTGTACTCATATTTCTGCGTTTAATGACCAGAATTTATTTCTGGCGACAACGCCATTTCGTCCTTCAGTGCTTACGATGTATGATTCCATTCGAATAAAGAATACAGACAGGTCTCTGTCTAACAAGTCTTCGAGGAAATACGATAATAATGTTTCATGATGTATAAAAGAAATATATATAGATATACTCGTATAATGGGATAGCTGTTATCATTAGATAAATTGGGAGGTTAAGGTATAAAATATAGGTTACTTAACAAAATTGAAATAATGGAAAATACAGGGAACCTTTACTCTAAATGAATAATTGATAAAGTAGTGTGGAATGGAGAGTATTGTCATAAGTAATCCCTACTTTAAGTTTGTAAATGGTATTGCAATATGGTTTGAAGGAATTAGTATTGAAGACTAAAAAGGGACTAATCAATCTGAATTTGACATGTTGATTAATTAATGATTTAGGTAAAGATTTCAAAATTATTTTGATTTATTTAAAAATAAATAAATAGGGAAATATGGGGGCACTTAAGAATGAAGTAAATGTGAAAATACACAAATATATAATTTTGATTTAAAATAAACAGATTATTGAATGTCATTGTTAATAAAACATCTATTTTGGAAGATGTTTTATTGGAAGATCCGGACTTCGAATCCTGGCGAGGGCATAGCTGACTTCTCCTGTTTTCTGGTGTCGAAAGAATGTAATAGCTTTATAATTTGAAGACTGTTGTTGTTTTCAAGAATATGAGCTCTGTAAGATTCTGTAAATAAGATCTCTATTTAAAAAATATTATACTGATCAAAACCTTTCAGACAGTCTGCATATTAACGATCTTTGTTTAAATTATTAACTTCAGAAACCTTTTCCCAAACGGATAATTTAGTTTTACACAGATTTAAATACTTCGCTCTTAAATTTGAATGCTACCCTTGAATTTTCAGAAAACATGATCTGAAATTTTAAAACTGAACACTTTCGTCGAATGTGAGTCAAAACTTTTGTGTTTTATTCCTTAAAACGGGTATAAACTTTTATTAAACATAATTATAAGGATTAGGGAACCTTATAAAAATATAATTTTTACAAAACTGTCTTTTAAATTTTAAGAATGTCAAAACATGAATTTTTATAATTGGAAGTATAGTGAACCAACACTTGCAAAGCAAAAGACTTTTATTGACACGCTGTAAATTCCACTAAGTAATACGATTTTCGTGGTATTAGTATATTCATTATATAATTAATATCTTTCTTATATCGGTGACTGTATTTAAATAAGAAAGTACTGTTGAGTTATGCACATATAAATTGATTGTAAAAATGAATTATTATAAGTTCAATGATAATTACAATTTAAAATACCACATTATTTATAAGTGCAGGAGCGCATTATTCAGATTTAAACTTAAGAAACATTTTTATTAACATTTTACACAGCTGCCTTAGTGCCTTTATACAGTTTAATTAGATTCAATAAATAGTTAAATGGTTAATTCAGAAGTCAAAACAACAAAAATCAGCGTTAATTTACAAAATTTTCACAGGACTTGTTTCGATGGTTTTACCGAACCATCATCTTCAGCTGCAAAACCGCAAATGAACAAGATAGGAAATAATGTTTAGACAAGATAAGAAAGCCTGGACAAGAATAAGCAAGTGGCGCCATCTGTTGGCGAAACCAGAACTAAAACATAATTTCTCTAAAAGCCGAAGGCAAATTTGGATTGGAATTAGGATCGTTAACTAGAACAGAAAGATTTTTATGAATGTGAAATGCCTCTAGAAAATCCAGTTCTCCAATGGAAGATGTTTTTTGAATAATTTTGGCAGCAGAAAAATTGAAAGTGTGATTTTCGGACCAACAATGTTGAGCAACAGAAGACTTCTGTGTTTCCTTTTTTCTAACATATGCCTCATGTTTCTAACATATGCCTCATGTTTTAAGGCTCTCTTAGTTTAGCCAATGTAAATTAAACCGCACTGGCAAGGAATCCTATAAATACCCCAGGAATTCATATCCGGAATGGGGTCCTTGAATATAGAAGTGGAATTTTATTGATGGGACAGTAAACAACCCGAAAGTTAAATTTCTGCAAAATATGTGCAACTTTATAGCTAATTGATGGAAAGAAGGGAATGACAACAGAATTTTTATAATCTCCTAAAATAAGAGTGTGGCTTTTAGTGTGTTGAGATGAGAATTTTTTAACTGCTTGATTAATAATGTTGGGTGAAAAGCCCCTGTCAATAGCTATTGCTTTTAAATAATTTAGTTCTTCATCAAGGGCTAGTTTGGAGTAGCAAACTTGAAGAGCACGGAAAACATAGGAATAAAATGAAGCTAACTTTTGTTTAGTCGGATGACATGATTTAAAGTGTGGTGGAAGGCAAACCGATGAAGGTTTACGGTAAACTGTAGTACTGAAGTTGGATGTGTTACGTGTGACCAGAATGTCGAGAAACGGAAGAGAATTGCAAGTCTCAAGTTCAAAAGTGAACTAATAGCAGGATCAATAGAATTCATTGTTGAAAGAACTTATTTAAATCATCTTTATTACCTTCAAACGGGTAAAGGGTAAAGTCTCGTCTACGTAGCGGAACCATGCCGGGAAGTTTAAAGTTTCAAACAATTTTGATTCATAATAATGCATGTAGATATCAGCCAGGATGGGGACTGAGGGGGCTTCCCATGGCTAATCCCTCAGTTTGCTTGTAATATTTATTTTGGAAAACAAAATGTGTTTGTTTCAAACAGAGTTGAGTGAGAGAGAAATTAGCTCATCAATTTCGATGCAAGAGAAATGAAATTCGCGAAGTCTGGTTTCTAGACATCTTAATGCACCCTCCACTGGGACATTGGTGAATAATGATTTTACATCAAAAGAAACCATGAGTAAATTACGAGGAGAAATGTTTTTAACCTTTTTTACAAACTCTATTGAATTTTTTATGGTGTAAATGTTATTGTCTAATAGATTGGAAAATCTAGAAACTAAATATTTAGCTAATGGATACGAGGCAGTACCTAGATTTACTTAACAAAATTATTAATCAAGCAGCAACAACAACATTATTAATCAAGCAGTTAAAAAATTCTCATCTCAACACACTAAAAGCCACACTCTTATTTTAGGAGATTATAAAAATTCTGTTGTCATTCCCTTCTTTCCATCAATTAGCTATAAAGTTGCACATATTTTGCAGAAATTTAACTTTCGGTTTGTTTACTGTCCCATCAATAAAATTCCGAACTTGCATACTCAAAGGACCCCATTTCCGGATATGAATTCCTGGGGAATTTATAGAATTCCTTGTCAGTGTGGTTTAATTTACCAAAACTAAGAGAGCCTTAAAATTTCGCGTCAAAGAACATGAGGCATATGTTAGAAAAAAGGAAACTCAGAAGTCTTCTGTTGCTCAACATTGTTGGTCCGAAAATCACACTTTCAATTTTTCTGCTGCCAAAATTATTCAAAAAACATCTTCCATTAGAGAACTGGATTTTCTAGAGGCATTTCACATTCATAAAAATCTTTCTGTTCTAGTTAACGATCCTAATTCCAATCCAAATTTGCCTTCGGCTTTTAGAGAAATTATGTTTTAGTTCTGGTTTCGCCTACAGATGGCGCCACTTGCTTATTCTTGTCCAGGCTTTCTTATCTTATCTAAACATTATTTCCTATCTTGTTCATTTGCGGTTTTGCAGCTGAAGATGATGGTTCGGTAAAACCATCGAAACTAGTCCTGTGAAAATTTTGTAAATTAACGCTGATTTTTGTTGTTTTGACTTCTGAATTAGTATTTGTTCGGCGTGTTATTGTGTCTTAATTAGTTAAATGGTTTTAAATAATATTTTCAGAGATTAATTCATATGCACCACGACAAAATTATGAACCTTCAAAATCATTGTTTCCAAAGAGATGCATTCAATTCATGGAAACATTTTCAGAAACAGGGAATTATCGTAAAATTTTACGTATTGATTTTTCTACATGCACTCCAGAGAATATATATATCCATCTCTTTTGAGTTGTACAAAACGCTGGGATACAGTGCAGGAAGTACATGTAAGTGTTAATAACAAAGACATTTTAATCTGGCGCTGGCAAATATTTGGAAGAAAAAGTGATACCTGTAAAGTATACAGACGAATAAAGCATAACTTACTTTAAAACGTCTAAATATTTTTTAAATAAGTGTAAATAAATAGGAAGAAATTACTTACTTCACCATTCAAGTAGCAGAAGATGAGGGAAACCAAAAATCCCTATGGAGAAAAATTATAAAACGTCAGAAAATATATCTCAGAATTTGAAGCATGTTACGAAATCTATCTGCTCGATTACATATATATTTATTCATATTTCTTCCACTTCAGATTCTTTCATAGGAACTTAGTTTTTTAGTTAGTGCAAAGATTGCGAATTCTTCTAGAGTATGCGTCGGCAACCACTTTGGCTGCGGGTCAAAATCAGCCAAAATTAGTCAAAATAAGCAATCAGCGGGTCGAAAATGTGTGTTAACACTTTATCTCCCAAATTACTTTATTTTTTGAAAAAGAATTTGTATCTTTTTTATTATTTTTTATTTCTTTATACATGAGAAACATACCACATAAAATTCACAAAAATGGTAAAGTCGCCACTTTTTTTAAAATTTAAAACTGGGGCTTAAAAGTGCTGTTGGAACATAATTGAGCGATTTTATTGATTACGTCCCATAGGGAAATAAAGGGTTAAGACGACAATTCGGACTTTTTATTTTAAAACATTTTTTTTCGGTGAATAATCAGATAAATTTCATTGAGAAAATAAATACAAATAATATTTTAAACTTATGTAGACTTTAAACATGAAAAATAAAATGATAATTCTAATTATCATAAAAGCAAACATAGCTGAATGAATTTTCTCCTCGATATCAATGGCTCCTTTGATGCTTAACTTATGACATCAATTTAGTCAAGCATGCTTTATAGTCAGTCGTCTTAAGACTAATACAAGACACCTGAATTTCGGTAGTTAAGATGCTCCTGCTCTTACTTAAATTAAATTTCATGTGTGAAAATATTCTCTCGCATTTATATGTTGAACCGAATGCGGAAAAAATGGAAAAGCCAGTTTTGTTTCAAAGATGAAAACTTAGTAGGAAGTGATGCTTAATACTTCGTTATCATGGAAAGATAATAATCTTCTGATTTTTCTAAATCTTTCGGTAATTTCTTGAATTTATTCATCCATAACGCTGAATTTTAAAAACAAGCATTTCTGAACTAAAATTGTCAACTTCAAGATATTGAAAATACTGCAAATCTGAAGCATCTTCTAGCTTCTCGCGCTCTATTGTAAAAGTTAGCATTTCACCGTGCCTCTTAGAAAATCGAAACTGACTTGTTTACTTTTAATGTACAAAATCTACCTTTGGAACATATTCATATTTCTCTCAGAGATATTTTCTTCTTCATGTTGCCTTTTTAACAAGAGAAAGAAACGAAATTCTTTCTTTTTTATGTCTGTTTAAAGTAATATTAATATCGAAGAAAAACTCTTTTATTCTTGGTGAATTTTTGGAATTTAATTGGTGTCGTAAGTTGAAGTCATTATATTTGTTCGTTATGCCTGTTAAGAATAAAGGTCTTAAAAGCCGTTCTTTGTCATTGAGTCCCAGACCATATTCGCCGACTTCGTAAATAAATATTTATATCTTATTAAAACACTGACCAAATGTATTAAGAACTTTGCCTCGACTTAATCATCTTATGCCCGAATGTAACAGCAAATCTCCATATTTCGGTTCAGTTTCCTTTATAAAAGCTTTGAAGCGCCTTTGTACTACTTCTGCTGGTACTACTATCGTGTTCACGATCTTAACAAACGTCTCTATTACATTTTTCCACTCACTTTATCTCTGCAAATAAACTCTCTTCGTAAGTGCTTCATTTAAACTTTGGAACAATTTATTGATACATATCTAATAATAACTGCAAGCCTACGCATACTATTTACATCGGCACTTTCAACAAGTGCAATGTATTTTACATCTCTAGGTAACAAATTATTTTTGACCTGTTCATCAATATTTTGAGCCAAATCTTCAATGAGACGTTGAACTGTTCTGGCTGACAGTGGCATTTCTTTAGTTCTCTCAATGGTTTGTCTTTCAATTGCGAAGTCATTAAATAAGTGTGTTCGGAGCAATTTATGACTGCGTCTTCCAAAAATTCGCCGTCTGCAAACGGTTTTCCGTTGGAACCAATGCTAAGAGCTGAGATAAAGCTGGCGGATGTAGCGTGATTGTGGCTGGTAACAAAACTCTTTAACAATTTATTTTGTTATAGAAAATTTAATACACATTTAGCAATGTATTCAAATTTTTCTTCATTTGTCATTTCACTCCCATTTTTATTTTTCCAAGAAAAGTGTCTCTCAATATTATAAGTTCTGGCGGTAATACAATTGTGCATTGAATATATATCAGTTCGTCAGCATGTTTGATATATTCATATATTTCTTTCCATACGACTTAAAAAAAATCTCTTTTTTGCTTTTTGCTTGTCCATAATGAAAATTATTTCTCTGCGTCACTATTCTTGCGCTGCTGAACAAGAACTACAGCTGAGAGTGCCACCTACTACTGCCAGATATTCATCAAGGAATTATGGATGGGCGTTGCCAAACGTATCGATTTCTCCTTCAAACTATGTTATAGTTTTTATTAAAAATGCATGTTCATTACTGAAACTTAGTAATACAAGATACAATTGTTATTATTTATTTTCACTTTATTTTTTATGTATTGTGCAAGTATGTATTTCGCATTTATATTTTATAACTAATTTTTATGTAGTATACTTTATTTTGAGCGCAAGTGGATTATTTCCAATTACGAAATGGATCACTTGGTGATCTGAGAATCATAGGTTGCCGAGGACTGCTCTAGAGACCACAATGGAAAAGTTGGTTTGTAAACTAGTAAAAGATATTAAATGTCATAAAATATTTTTATCTTGTATTAAAATTTTTCTAAAGCCACTTATTGTGTTTCAGAAAACTATTTGATTTAAATGTTTAATAATACTTTACAAAAACCTTGTGAATAAACTCAATTCACAAACCTTTGTGATATGTTTTTACACATAGTCACTCATCAAAAATCTGAAGTCAGCTAAACTTATGATGAGACTGATAGAGAGAAATCAGCTAAACCTATGATCAGACAAAGAGATCAGACTGTGGCTCGACAGTCTGATCTCTTTGAATCCTAAACGTCAAATACAGTATTTACAATGGTTAAATGCCACCACGGCACGACCGTACAGAAATTGAATATGACTATTTTCACTGATCAATATCGTTTCAATCTTGTTAACGATTCTGGAAATCAATTATCTTTTGAGTAGTGCGATTACGGTTTTGTCAGGCAAATACACTGACTACCAATAAGTATTTGGACACATGTGATAGAAAAGAAAAACTAACTTTATTCAAATTCAATAGTTGGTAGAGCTTTCACGAGAGGTAATTACAGCGTGGACCCTCCGGGGCATACTTTTAACAAGTCTTTGTATGACAGCTAGTGGTATTTTCTTCCCCTCGGCTTGGAGAAGACATAGAAGCTCCTTCACCGATTTTGCACAGGTAGTGTACCCCTGAATTCGGCTATGCAACTCGTCCCAGAGGTTCTCGATAGGGTTCAGGTCTGGACTCTGGGCAGGCCAGTCCATTCGATGAACTTCATTGGCACCATACCAAGCCTTGGTTAACGTCGAAACATGACAACTGGCATTGTCGTCCTGAAAGTAACAGGGGTCCAACCCGTAAAACTGCCACAACGTAGGAAGCACATTGTCATCCAAAATAGTGCAGTAGGCATCGGAGTTGAGCTTACCATGAATGGGGATCAAGGGTCCCAGCACATACCAGGAGAAACACCCCCAGACCATAATTCCTCCTCCGCCGAACTTGACTGTTGGCACAATGCATTCTGGCAGGAGACGTTCTCCAGGTAGACGCCAGACCCAGACCCTGAAATCCGAATGGTAAAGGATGAATCTTGAATAGTCACTCTAAAGAACCCGTTTCCACTGATCTACGGTCCAATTTCGATGTGCTTTGCACCACATTAACCGAGCAACGCGGTTGGACTTTGTGATCAAAGGCTTATGGACAGCAGTACGACCGAGAAAACCAAGCAGATGTGCTTCCTTACGGATGGTATTCATTGAAACAATACTCTCGGATGCCTGTTAAATCTCCTCGCGGATGAGGGCCATCGGTTGGTTGCGGTTCTTCCGAATTTCTCTGGACACACTTCGTCTCTGTCTCCCAGTTTCGTTAGTCTGCCGACTCGGGGCACATTCTGTCAATCACCGCTTACCTTCCACTTCTTAATCACATAGGCCACTGTCGATTTTGGGTACTTCAGATCGCTAGATATGTCCCGTAAGGATCGGCCATATTTGTGATACCCGATAACTATACCTTTCTCGAAATCAGAGAACTCCGAACTGCGATGCATCTTGCATGCGACTAAAGCCGATGCTGTTTCCTACACGATATATACCGGCGGAGTCCGTGACATACCTTAGGACCGCAGATATCGTCATTTGCATAGGTGTCCAAATACTTATTGGTAGTCAGTGTATTACCGCACCACATCGATAAGGAAGTATAAATGCTGTGGTTCGACCAGATGCTTAGCTCCACGTTATGTTTAAGGGTTCAATAACGTTAAACCTCTAGTGCAGCGCGGTAATCCTTCCTCATATGCGTCGTTGTCGAGGTCCATTTGTTCTCACTCCGTTCTAGGGGATAATAATACCACACTACATTAAGCACATCCTGCAGATGAATTATAGGAAGTGAAGCTGTCTCTCGTATATTGGGCGTTCGTAAACATAACAATAAAAATACCTGTTATATTACCTAGAGACGGCATCTTAAAGCAGGCTTATATCCATTGCATAAAGTCCATCAACTGAAAAAAAAAAACTCTTAGAGGAAGTAGATAATTTTGCACCAACAGCGTATGTATCCTCAATGTTATGCCTGGGGAAATGCAGCAATGCAATTAATTCTATTAAGAGATATCATATTTTATACTAAACATGACCTGTTGCCTTTATTTATTTGTGGAATAGATGCATTTTTACAATGGAACATTACAGCCATGTTTTTATTAAACCGTCTCTTTTAATCCCTGCATTCGTTTCTGCACATATATATTTTCCTCCATCAGTGTGGGTCACACTGATGATCATTTCTATTT